AGGCAATAGATGTCTTATGAGTTAGATTAAATGATTTTTGCCCTTCCTCATTTGTTAAATAAGTTTGTAAATCTTTCTCCCATGCTAGCATGAAGTAAGGCCTTAATGGAAATCGTGCTTTCATTATATTATGGTACAGTATGGAAATCACATGGGTTTCTCTCTCCTTCTGGCAGCAAAGGTTTTCGAACCAAGTTAATGGTCTGTGTAACGATGCTGTCTCCTGCAGACTATCATATAGGGCTCTAAGTTGAAAATACTGAAGCCAGAAACTGTGTTCATGCGTTCGTGCAGGCAGCAGAGATATCATTGATTTCAGATGTGTTGATGTAAGGGCCTCCATTATAGGTGAAGGTGAGCTCCTGGTCCATTAAAAAAATTGCCTAATTAACCCCCCTGATTTAAATATTGGGTTTCCCATGATAGGAGTTATGGGTCCCACAGTAGTTGAGATCCGAATTTCTTTTACCATATAATCCCACACTTTTAGAAGAGGAGGTATACAGAAGGGGAGAGCTAATCTCGGAGGTCTCATATGCGGTTTTATCCATGGTATAGAGTATGGAAGAGTAGGAGAAATCTCTTTCTCTAAGTCAACCCATAACTTATTCCCATCATTGAATTTTCGGTCCAGTATATGGGCTATTAACGTAGAATAGTAATATGTTTTCAAATCTGGGAGGGCCAACCCCCCTTCTTCTTTCTTATAAGAATATGATATGCTAATCTGGGTGGGCACCCTGTCCATATATATTGAGTCAGGGCCGCTCGGTTCTTATGAAAAAAAGCAGTCGGTATTTCAATAGGTAAAGTTTGAAAAAGATATAAAAAACGAGGAAGTATATCCATTTTATAGAGTGCTACTCTACCTAGCCAGGAATGTTTATAATGTGTCCACCTAATGTGTCATTTAATAGATGTTTTTTTCCGAATTGCTTTGGCTAGATGTTCCATGGCTAGAACATATAACATTGGGGATAGGGGGCATCCCTGCCTGGTGCCCTTCCGGATGTTTATCAGGGCTGAGAGACAACCATTTACCCTGACTCTTGCAGTAGGTCTTATATATAAGGCCATAATTTTGTCTACTACCGTTCTGGGTATACCCATTTGTAGCAAGGTATGGGACAGAAAATGCCAACTTAGGCGGTCAAACGTCTTTTCGGCATCCACCGACAGGATACATAGAGGGAGTCCATTAACTTTTGTATGTCTCATAAGGGTCAGCGTCTTAATAGTATTGTCCCTGGCTTCTCTGCTCTGGACAAATCCCACTTGGTCCCTGTGTATTATTGATGGTAAAAGAGACTTTAGGCGATTTGCGATAATTTTTGTATATATCTTTAGATTTACATTAATTAAAGATATTGGCCTATAGTTCTGACATTGAGTGAGATCTTTACTTGGTTTAGGCAAAACCACAATGTGGGCTTCTTGGGACTGAACCGTAAAGGGACAATCTATAGAGATGGAGTTATATATATCCTTCAATATTGGGGCTAGTTCCTCCTTAAACTTTTTATAAAACATACCTGTATATCCGTCTGGGCCTGGGCTTTTCCCCTTGGGGAGGGTTTTATTTGTTGTATTTATTTCTTCCTCCGTAATTGGTAGTTCTAATGTCTCTGCCCCCTCCTCCGAGATCCTCGGTAGAGGAGTGTCCTCAATATATGTTGCTGCCCCCGATACTGTCCCAAGCTCCCCTGGTAATACCTATTTTTATTTTTCTAGATTATAAAGTTCAGAATAATAAGCCTGAAACTCCTGAGCTATATGGTCAGTACGATGGACGATACGTTTTCCTTTTACTTGGATTTTTGAGACGATAATACGTGTGATCTGTCCCTTTATTGATCTAGCTAATAATCTACCCCCTTTATCTCCCTGTTCATAGAATGATCGGCGGATAGCCTCCCTGTACTTTAAATATTTCTGATCTAATATGGACTTCGCCACCTTTTTTTCCCGGGCTTTCTTCATCCTAGTAGCATGAGAAATAAATACTCCCCTTATCACACATTTAAGTGCTTCCCACTTAATCAGGATATCCGCAGTATCAAATTCATGTTTAGTTTTAAAGGTAGAGATTGTCTCCTTTATACCGTGTTTCCCCGAAAGTAAGACCTACCCCGAATATAAGACCTAGCGCTATCTTCGGGGATTTGTGTAATATAAGACCTACCCCAAAAATAAGACCTAGTTCGGTGGTAGGTCTTATATTACAGACATCCCTGAAGATAGCGCTAGATCTTACCTTCGGGGTAGCTGCACATGTAATTAAATTTTACATGTGAAGACCGGCCGCAGCTCCCTCCCGCCCCCTCACCCACCTGTCTGTTGCTCTCTGGATGGCATCAGAGCAGAGAGGCAGCTCCCTCCCGCCCCCCTGCCAGACACGCCCCCCCCGCACGCATGCCCGCCCCCTCGTCCGCCCACCTGTCTGTTTCTACCTGGATTGCATCAGAGCGGAGAGGCAGCTCCCTCCCGCCCCCCTGCCAGACCCGCCCCGCCCGCACGCATGCCCGCCCACCTGTTTGTGACTCCCTGGACGGCAGAGCTGACAGCTGCAGCCAGGTAAAACATCCCCCGAAAATAAGACCTAGTGTCTTTTTTCGTGAAAAAAAAAAATAAGACACTGTCTTATTTTCGGGGGAAACACGGTAGCGAGCACCGTCTTTTCGTCTCTAAATAATGTTTCATTTAATCCCCATGTAAACCCTTTGAAAGGTTGGTCTTCAATTTGTAAATCCAAAGTAATGGGTGATGATCTGACCAAATTTGTCTATCAATAATAGCTCCTGGTTCCCATTGGAGAGAATGGTGAGAGATCAGGAAGTAATCTATGCGACTATTAGATTTATGTGGTTGGGAATAGAATGTATAATCCCTTGTCTTCGGGTGCAAGATTCTCCAAATATCAATCAATTGCAGCCGCTGCAAGGCATTTTTCATTCTCTTTAATTGTACATGTGAAAATTGCGACCTCCCTCCAGGTGTAAAGATAAAGACACCGGCACTCCAAATTTATGAGCAAACGTCTATTTATTGACGTGCAGCATAGTAAACAGTTTGCTCATGAATTTGGAGTGCCGGTGTCTTTATCTTTACTTGTGATTATAACGGATGCCACCCGTTGACTACCGCAGCACCCGCTTTTCAAAGGGATTTGGCGGTCAGGAGTGCGATGGGACCATGGACTCCCTCCAGTTGTATCTACTCCTGGTTCCAATGGAAAATTAAAATCCCCTCCTAATATTATTACGCCATCTGCAAACTCTTACAACTCTCTCAACATTGCCAGCATGAATGAAATTTGTTTTTGATTAGGGGCATACACATTTACCATTGTAACCATTTTATGATATAAAATACCCTTTAAAAAAAATATATCTGCCCTCCTTATCCCTAACAATCTGCCTAAGCTGGAATGGCACTGTAGAGTGAAAACATATAGCAACCCCCTTAGATTTTGCTACTGGGTTATTGCTAGTGTACACCTGAGAGTAGTATCGAGATTGCAGACCTGGATATTCTACATTGTTAAAGTGAGTCTCCTAAAGAAACAAAACTTGTGCCCTTTCCTTATGCATATGATATACAATTTGCGAGCGTTTCCTAGGGTCGTTTTTTTCCACTAACATTCAGGGATACCCATTTCGTTGCTGGCATTTTAAGAAATCAGAGCAATTTCTACTGTCACATGGAGACCAATAATACAAGGAGAGAAAAAAACCCTTACCCCCCCCCCCTTCCCTCCATTTGTGTCTGTTACCAATGTGTGATCCTTGGGGCATATTATTTCTTCACAAATTTTGTGTGTTCCTTTATTCTTAAGTGTGTCCTAATTCTTCCCTCCCTTCCATCCCACCCCTTCCTTTCTTTACCCCGCTTCCCTACCCTCTCTTCCTTAATTCCCCCGTGGGTAATACTCCCTACTAATACCCCTATTAGTTATATTAGAGCACCTGTTCATCATGATACCTTGTGTATCATTTGTTTCCCCTTGCCCCTTTCCCTTTTCAACACACCAATGTTCATTTATTCCATATTGTGCAAAACATATTAGCACCTTGTCCTAGTGAGACATACTACCATATACCTTACTATCGTTACCCCATATTGTGTCCATTGAGATAGGTTAGGTACTGGAGATATGAAGGAAATAGGTGGGTCAGGCCAAATTCCAAGTTCAACTGTAGGAATCCCCAAAGCCATTGAAAAGGCCTCCATGTCATCTGGTGATCGGAGGGTAGCAGCTTTTCCGTTTTTCTGGGCCATTAGTTGGAAGGGATACCCCCATCTGTATGGTATGTTGCCTTCTTTTAAGAAGGGTAGTAAGGGGGCGTAGAGTTCTACGTCGGGCCAAAGTTCATGCAGACAGATCCGGGTATAAATTGATTATAGTCCCCCCAATGTCAATAGTACCCTTCTCTCTGGCCTTGTTTAATATCTCCTCTTTTATTCTGAAAAAGTGAATACAGCATACAGTATCCCTTGCTTGTTTCATAGAGGGATTGTAAGTCCCTGGAACTCTATGCACTCTATCAATTTCAATTGGGCGATTAAGTATAGAGTTGAATATGTCTCTCACAGTAGTTTCCAACTCAGTTGCCACTACCGTCTCAGGGAGACCTCTAATTCTGACATTATTCCTCCTATTGCGATATTCCACATCATCCATATGTAGCCACATTGATTGTATACATTTATATTGTCCTTTGACTGCAGTTTGCAATTCCTCAATGGCAGTATGGCTCAGTCCCTGATATGCATCTATTTTATCTAACCATTCATGTAGCCCAGAAACATCTTGCTTATATATATGTTCAAATCTTTTAAACATATATTCCATATCCCGTTTGGAGGGTAGTTGCTCTAATAACGGTTTAGGGTCCATAGAGGTATTACCTGATACTTGATCTTCATCAGATGAAACATGTACAGTATATTTTCGTTCACTACCTGCAACCCATACCTTGGGGAAGACTCTCTCGTTCCAGGTAGATGTGAGGAAGTTCCAGATCTGTTGGGAGAGGTTCCTCGTGAGGACGCCATCTTACCCTCTTCCGTTGTAGATTTGGGAACATTAGCTCATGAAAAGAAAGTTTCTATGTCGGGTCTCAGCGATCGAGCCACCGACGGTTTCTTCTCCTGCGCTTTCGCTTTCTTATGCTGCACTTGTCCTTTCCTCCCCTTTCCTTTTCTGCCGCTCATGTTTGCAGTGGGGTTTCCGGGGCTATGGGGTTGCCAGGCCGTCTATGGTGTCCGTGGTCCCATATCGGGACTAGCTCTCAGCACGTCCGCGCGCTGCGGGACCGCGCACCGCCATCAACAAGCTCCTCCCATCAACATCCGGTTACTCCCCTATGTCTGCACTTACTAAAGTCTCCTTGGGAGCCCCAGCCTGGGTTATTTATTTTACAATACAGTATGCAGCAAGATAATGAGACTCCCATCATAAAGCAGGATCAGTAGACTCTACTTCGAGGAGTGGACAGAGTCATGAACTCTGACTGGAAAAGCTACCTTCCTAATGAAAACATTTAAAATGAAATTATAACAGTTTTGGGTACATTTTGTTTATTTACTTTTTGTACTGTGTACCAATGGCTGAAAGTTTACAGAGCATTATGAGTTTCTTAACCACTTGAAGACCGGAGTGTTAAACCCCCTTCCTGGCCAGGCCATTTTTCAGTATTCAGCGCTGCAGTACTTTGACTGACATTTATTCCATCATGCAACGCTGTACTGAAATTAATTTTATACCATTTTTTGGGGACAGAACAAAAAAGTACCCTGAATTTTGTAAAAAAACACGTCTCCCTAGGAAATGTTATGAAACATTTATTACCACCCCAATTTTTTGGTAAAATATAAAAGACAGGGTCGCGTCGGGAAAATAGACACCAAACATGTCAAGCTTTAATATTGCGCGTGTCCCCGCGAAATCGAAGAAAACTACCACACCCAAAATTGGCCATAGACGATTCTTTAAAAGCTTTTACCGCTCATCAGTTTAATGTTATCAGTAATTAACCCCAAAATATTTGTTCTCACTCCAACGTTTGCGGCGATATGTAACATGTGTGGCACAATAGGCAGAATCAACGTTTCCGCATGTAGGCGGACCCGACGCATGTTTGCGTGTGTATGTGGGGGGCGGCGGACTTTTAAAAAAATTGTGTTATTTTACCTTTTGTTTTTATGTTTGACTATTTTTTTTTAGTTTCTTTATTATTTTTTTTATGCTTTAATTTTTTTTTTCACACTTAACGTTATTGCTATCACATAGAGGGCTAAGGAATCCCCTATGTGATAGCCAATGCACATGACAGGTCCTCTTTATGGTGACATCAGGGGTCTCCAAGACCCCTAATGTCACCTAGGGACCCCCAGAGAACCTGATGAAGCAGAGATCTGCTTCATCAGCTTCTCACTGGCATCTGTAACCGGAGAGTGACACTGAATGCAGGAAGTGATGCAATATACGGCGGCGAGGAGGCAGCGGCGACGGAGTTATGGGGGGGCACACACCCGTAGCTACTGCACCGGTTGGGCGTCTCTAGAGATGCCCAATCGCTCAAACGTAAACAGCCATTGCTGGCTGTTTACATTGCTAACTGTTCTCCACGCGTGTGCACGCTGAGCGCCGCGCACGAGAGGGGGGATGGGCAGAACGTCTTAAGACACCCTCCTGCTCCTACAAGACTCCCGTTCGGCCGTTCAGGAACAATGATGAATAAACATACTCGGTCATCATAACCTAAAAAGTAATGAAACAGGGTCTAAACAGACAACTGATATTTCCCTTTGAACCGCCTCCTGGGCGGGAGCTTCCTGGATGTAACAGGCCGTCAAAAGATGGCCTGTTAGCCCCGCCCACTTGGGCGCGCCGGTACACGATCACCCTCCGTTCCCTCTCCGTTGTCAGAATGCGGAAGTGATGTATATTACATCACTTCCGCATTCTTGTGTCACTTTCCAGCTTCAGAAGCTGGAGAGAAGCTGATGAAGCATATCTCTGCTTCATCAGCTTCTTTGGAGGGTCCTAGGTGACATTAGGAGTCTTGGAGACCACTGATGTCTCCATAAAGAGGACCTGTCACATCTTTTTGCCATCACGTAGGGGGGCTTCTTAGCTCCCTATGTGATAACAATAAAGTTAAGTGAAAAAAATAGGGGAAAAAATTAAAGTTCCAAAATAAATTAAAAAGTCACACATGAAAAAGAAAGAATTTTTTAAAAACACAATTTTTTTAAAAAGTCCCCACACATACATACTCGCGCGCAAACATGTGTTTGGTGCGCATATGTGCGAAAACGACGATTGCGCCCATTACGCTGCACATGTTACATATCGCCACAAACGTTGCAGTGAGAGCAATAATTCTAGGGCCATTAATCACTGATAACACTGAAGTGATGAGCAATAAAAACTTCTACAGCGCCGCCTATGGTCAATTTTGGGCATGGTAGTGCGATTTCGCGTGTGCGCACAATTTTAAGGCTTGACATGTTTGGTATCTATTTACCCGACGTGACCCCGGTCTTTTATATTTTACCAAAAAATGGGGTAATAATAAATGTATTATAACATAATGTAAAAAATATTATTTTTCTACATTTTCAGTAAAAAATAAATACTGCAGTGGTGATTAAATACCCCCAAAAGAAAGCTCTATCTGTCTCTATCTGGCCAGTACAGCGTTGCATGACGGAAAAAATGTCAGTCAAAGTACTGCAGCGCTGAATACTGATGGCCTGGCCAGGAAGGGGGTGTAAACACCTGGTCTTCAAGTAGTTAAAATAGAAAAAGGGATTGAGAACACAGAGTCCTCAATCTCTTTATCTGCAGCCCCTGTTATAAATGAACAGGAAGCCTCTATACTGCGTGTGTCTGTTCATTTCTAACTTGTGTAGATAGTATGTTTACCTTTTCCACAATCATGAATGAAAAGGAAGTGATGTAGATCACTTTCCATTCATTCATAATTCGGGACACAGTAAACATACTCTGTCCTCAATTATTTACAAACACTCAGCGATCACTGATCACTGACTGCTTGTATCCGCTCTCCATCCTAACTTGCTGTCAGAGGAGGCTGAGTGAGCGGTGTGGGGAGGAGAGCTCAGTCTCCTGTGACAGCTGACAGCTGTCACAGCCCCCACACTGCCACTCTCCTGATCTGTCACAGACTTTACTGCAGCTGATTAGGAGCTAGGAGGCTGAGTGGCTATCAGCGCTCTCCTTCTCCGCACCGCTCAGCCTCCTGTGACAGTTTCTCTCCTCCCACTGACACAGAGCAGCGCCCAGTGAGGAGGAGAGAAAGCAGGGATTTCATTTTTCCAAAAATGCTATTTTCGGCCGATATGTTTTGACTGTTACATTACATATTTGTAAATGGATACCTGCTAAAGGAATTTCAGTTCATTTCAGCCAGTCGTAGTATTCATGTTCTCTTGCCAGACAGCACATCCAGGTCCTGGACCTCTTTGTAGACTTTACTGCAGCTGATTAGGAGCCAGCACCTGTGATTGAACAGTGAAAGAGCAGCAACACCTTAATGAGGTCATGCTCTCCCCTCCTGTATATTCCGACATAGTGTGTAGGTGCCCATACACCTTACAACCATTGCAGGACTTTTGCCTTGCAATTGTTGTAAGCTAATTAGAAGCTCGTACGATCTGCCCATCTTGGACAGGCAGATCGTACTTGCAATCATCGAAAGCCAGCTCCACTGAGGGCAGGGCTTCCGATGACTGCAATGCTGAACGGGCAGTGTGCACTTGCGCACACCGGCCCGTTCGGCATTTGTCTCCCGAGCATGCCACAAACCCGCCGACAATCATACGATTCTTGGCGGGTTTTCAAACATGCTCGTTAGACAAAAGACGTGCGACCGTCCAGTAGAAACGGTCGCACGCCTTCCATACACCTTGCGATTATCGTACGATCGCGGGATTTCCCGCAATTATCGTACGATAATCACAAGGGGTATGGGCACCTTAAAGGAGAACTATGGGGTCAGTGTTTTTCCCCATAGTTCTCCTTGGGGTAACGGGAGGACACAAACTAGCGTCCTCCCGTTACCCTAAGCTCAGTATACCGCGAGCTACAGCTCGCGGTATACTGAGACGCCGCACCTGGAGCAGATCCCGACTTAGATGACGGGATCCGCCCAGCTGCGTGAGTGACAGCTGGCTCTGCCTATCTAGAGGCAGAGCCAGCTGTACCCGCCCCCTCCCCCGTCCGTTCCGCTAGTCAGCGCTGGCAGATCGGAGCGGGGAGAGGGGAATCCAGCCCCTCCCCCTGTCACGGCAGAGAGCCGTGACAGGATCGAGAGGCGAGCGAACCTGGTATGTTTTCCCTCACCTCCCGATCTACTGAGCCGACCTGTGACAGTCTCATTGTCACAGGTCGGCTTAGAACTATGAGGTGAGTGGAAATCACTCATGTCATAGTTCTCCTTTAAGACACAAGTAATGCAGGCTTGATTTAGTCCTGATTCTGTCCCTCCCTTTACCAGTGTAAGTGCAGCTGTGAAGGGGATAACAGAAGGCTGATATCAAGACCTTGAGCTGGAGACAGAGACATAGGTTAAACTGGCTATGCACTTTTAGAATTTTGGCTGTGTCCTGCTGACTTGGCTTAAATTCAAGTAGTGTGTGCCCCCACAGCACCCTTCCATTTTCAATCAACTTTTATAGAAGGAGCCAGTCTGAAAATTCTCGGCCATCAGTCCCTGACCTCAAAGAGCTTACTGAAAATATTGAAATTTCCCCCCCCCCCCCACGTTTG